TTCCTGCTGTAAAACTGCCAGTTGTGAGCTTCTCAGTATCCCCACTCCCCTCCCCTAGAAGAGAGAGACATGCTGAATTTAAGAACCCTGCAAAATGAGGAGGACCGCCTCTGAACCACACTTCCTTCCACCAGCCCTTTCCCATTACTGCCCTGGAGTATTTGAAAATGACCCTGCTTCCACAAGGGGGTCCTCTCTCCAACTCCTTCACTCCCTCCCCATCTAAGCACTAATCTCTTGCTCTGTGCTCTCTGCTTTTGCACATTCGGGAATCACTTTGTTTCTCTGAATTTAGAGTCTTACAACATCAAGTGCAAAGTCCTCCTGGCCCCAGGAGAAGGCTTCTGTGTACCAAGCCAAGTCTTGTTAAGAGTTCCATCCCACCTCCCCCCAGGTCCGGGTCCCAGGCAATCCTTGGCGAGAGAACAGAGACCCTATCTCTGCCGCCCATGCCTGCGGTGGCCCCAGATGGAGAGAATTTCATCTTGGGGTGTGCTTGGGAAATGTAATATCTAGCCGATTAAGTCTCTTTCCATCTATTTAACATAACTGGGGGAAGGGGATTTTTTTACCTCTGAGAGCAGGAAATATTTTAAAAGCATAAAGAACTCTGGAAATATGTAATGGGGGTGTGTCCCTATATGCATATATATATGCAAATTGTGTGTCTGTGTCGGTATGTCTATATGTGTTTCTGTATATGGTCAATTGCATGGGCTTCAGTGTCAGGCAGACCTGTGCGCAAACCATCAGTAAATTATTTAACCTCTCTGAGCCTCAGTTTTCTTCTATGGAGGTTAGTAATGCCTATTTCACAAGATTTTGGTGTGGTTTCATGAGATAATGTATGTGAAATACATTCTAGGCTCAGCACGGTACCTAGTATGTAGAAAGCAGTCTATCAAAAGAAGTTGCTCTCAATGTTGTTCTTGTTTTTTTAGAAAACAGAGCTTCAAATTAAAGTCCTGGCTTGGTGACTAGCTCTCCTAGAACAGTAATACAGGACAAAGTATGTAAGACAACAATTTTCAGCATTTGACAACAGGGCTATAATTCTTAAGAGATGGTGTTGCAGTTACTATGGCTACATTAAAATTACTTCAAAATTCAGTGAAGTAAAAGAACCATGTATGATGTCCATGGATATTGTGGGTTAGAATTTCAAACAGGGCACATAAAGGCAGCTTGTCTCTGCTCTGCAGTGTCTGGGGATGGAACCATCTGAAGGCTGTTTACTCACCTCTCTGGCAGTTGACACTGGCTGTCAGCTGGGGGCCTCAGTTCTTCTCCGTGTGGGCCTATCCACATGGTCTCTGCATGTGGGCTAGTTTGGCCTGCCTCCAAACATGGTGGTTGGGTCTCCAAGCTGAGAGCAGAGAGAGAGAGAGAGAGAGAGAGAGAAGAGAGAGAGAAGAGAGTGAGAGATGCAGAAGTTGTATCTCTTTGTGACTTAGACTAGGAAGTTGCATAGCCTCACTTCTGCTGTACTCCACTGTCTGGAGTCACAAACTCCAGGTCAAGGGGTGGGAACACAGACCCCACGTAAGGAGAGCGTGAGGATGAGAGATGTTGTGATCACTTAGGGAAATACAACCATCCACAGAAAGGAGCCTGCACAAAGTGAGCCCCCTGATCACCCAAGCTCTTTGCTCCGGTTCATTTCCCCGACCGCAGTGCAGGGAGCCAGACCCCAAACAAAGCACAGCAGTCCTGCTGAGCTCATAGACAAAGGTCAAAGTTCAGGAGATGGAAAGAAAGAAATAGTAAAACAGCTGTGTGATCTTAAGCTTGGCTTTTCCCTTCTCCAGTCAGCAGATTCCTCTTCTGTAAAATAAGGGAGTTAAATTTCTTAAATGATTTTTAAGATTCTCTCCAGCACTAACGTTCTTTAACTTTGGTATGTTTGTACGCCTTTGCCTCTGTGTGTATGTGTGTATACATTTCATCTACCTATGTCCATGTCTGTCTATCTGGATGTCTCTGTGTGTATTCCTGTGCCCTGCATGCATGGCTCTATGTGTCCCCTGTGTGCACACAAAGAAATAAAATCGAGGACTTTCCAGAGTGGGCTTTGCCTGGCAGGGGACTGACTGCTTTCAAAGCTGCATTGTGAACAAGTTCATTGTTGCCCACTTAGGAAAACTAGAGCTGCTCACAACATTAGTGAGCAGGAACAGCCTCCGCTGCTGAGTTGCAAGATTGAGAGTTAATGAATGACATCATCACCCTGGCCCCCCTCCCATTCCCAGCCAGGCCCTATCCTGTTCTTGGGCAACACAGACTGTCCCGAGAGATCTATCTACAATGCACTGCTTGGACCTTCTTTAGCACAACCCGGCAATGTGTCCAGGACCTGCCTTCCACTCAGTAATCATGCATATCTGCACGGCTATTCCCAGTGTGCCAGTAGTTTGTTTCTTCAGGGAGACACTGGAGCTTCTGTGGAGTATCCACCACCAGATGCAGTGTCTGTTTCTCATACCACAGATCCATTCATTTTATTTTGTGTGAGTCAGAAACCCAGAAGCCCGGGCATGGAAGCCTTTCCCAAGAGCTCAGCTCAGTGATTCATAGGGTGCAGATGAGGCTCTGAAGTGTCCCAGAGGACCACAAGTTGATGGAAAAGCAATTGCCAAGCCAGTCTGAAAACCAAGACATCTATTAATAGTAAAAGCTGGATGGTGGAAGCAGGAACATAGAAAGGAGAGATTGTTGGACAACTCCTCCTAAACACAGTCTTGGTTAGGGCATTATTTTGTGCCTTAAACCTCGCCCCACACCCAGTGAGGACCATGGGTCCATACAGTCTGGTTATTTGGCATTAGAAAAAAATACAAGATGGGATCTGGATGGAGACTAGCCAGCTAATGTTTTCCAACTTCCTTAAAGATGGAGAATGAAAGAAGGCACGGGGATTACAGTAAGAGGTATCTAAGTTATACCTAGACAGAACTTTGTGAATATGGGACCAGGGGCAAGGGAAAGGAGGAAAAGAGGAAGGGAGTCAGACAGAAGGGAAGGGGAGGTCTTTGCCCAAAATAAAGGAAAGGGGCGGAGCTTGTCCCACTGCCCTGAGAACTTCAGTAGGTTTCAGAAGTCAGAGAGCAAAAGCAATACTTTCTGGAAGCAGATGTTTGTCTTTGTGAAGAACATACTTGGGTGCTATTGAATACCTGTGGCTTGTCAGAGGGCCCCTGTGGATTGTCATGGGAGATGTGATCCTAGCCTCTTTGGAGTCCCCTGCCTGAGCAGTTTCTTCCCTCTGCTCCACCCCTGGGCCTGCTCGTGGAGGAGACAGAAGGGATCCAGCTAGAAACACCCCCAGTTTTACCTTTTTTATATTTGAGGGCCATCTCCCAGTGGTGAGAGCAGCTTGGACCCTGCTCCTTCAGTGTTAAAGCCTCTGAGTCACTTGCTTAAATGTGAAATAAAACATCCTGGGATAGGTGTCAGAGGATTTAGATTCAAGTAGGAAGCACTATACTCCCTTGAGATTTACCTTCCTCATCTTTAAAATGGGAATAACAACACGTGTCCTGCCTATGTTCTTGCAAGTTAATTGTGAAGCTCAAAGAAGGTGAGATACCCTGAAAAGCTTTACAATAGGCAAGAGCTCACTGTGCTCCTGATTACCAGAAAATATTTTTATTTATGGGACATGCCAAGGCAGAACATCAGCTGCCATCCCCTGCGTCTTGACTTGGCTAATAATGCCACAGGTGTATCAGGTGATAAACACAATCACACAGAGTCACTATAGAAAGATTAGAATCATAATGAAACGTAATATGAGAAGTAATAGATCATAGGTGAAGCAACACGGTTTCTGCATGAGCTTTTGCAATTTTTTAATTCTTGGTTTCATTTTTGCTGCTGCAATTCTTTGATATGGAGGATGTCACAGCCACACTGTGGACAGGAGACTGGAAGCTGACCCCTCCTAGACTAATCTACCAAAGGTCCCTTCCAGCAATGAGGCTCTGCGACTATAAATGGAAAAATAACGTTTTTAATGGAGCAACTATCATAAAGCTTTCCCAAAGCTTCTTGCTGGATTGTCACAACACTCCTGTGAGAAACATAGAACAGTATTCCTACCCCCATTTTATATTTTGAGGCACAGCTTTATATATATATAAAATTTTATATATATATATATATATATATATATATAATTATAGCTTTGCCATAGTTCACATAGCTAATCAGTTGCAGAAACAAGGCTACAATAAGAGAAGGAGCTGGAGTAGATCTTAGCTCTAATCCAGCCCCGCCATTTTATAAAAGAGGAAACTGAGGCCCAGAGAGGCACAGGACTTGCTTAAGGACACACAGTTCACAGCAGCACCAAGAATAAAACTCAAGACACTCAGTGCAGTGCTCTTGCCCTGCCGGGTTAGTGACTCAGAGCTCCGGGATTCATTTTGCTACACCTCATTGCTAGTCTAGCCCTGCTCAATAATGGCCAGAATTTCCCCTTCCTTCAGGCACTGAATGGGCTGGGCTCTACACACACTCCCAGGACAAGTCAGGACGGATGAAGGACTAGAGCCCCCGGAATTCTGATGCCTCTCAGCTTTCTGGGTCTGGGGAGAACCGTCTTCATTTTCCCCAAACACCACAGCCACCCCCAGGGCTTTGCAGAGGCGACTCCCCAGGGAAGTGGCCCCAGCCCTGACCAAGTGGGTGAGGCAGGTTGGCGCAAGCTTTCAGACCTGAGCAAGGTGAATCACTGGAGGGGCACAGCCCTCCAGCTTCCTCTCCATGCAGCTCCGGCCCTGGGCTCCATGGGAGAGAGGATGGGTGGAGGACAGGGCAGAGAGAAAACCTGATGTTTGAACTGTGAGGCAAAGAGGAGCAGCCTGGGCACGGCTTCCATGAAGGGGGACAGCGGTGATCCCAGGTGGAGCTCGGAGAGCCCCCGAGAGAGCACAGGACACCCTCCCAATCCTGTGTCATCTCCTGGGATCCCTTTGCCACACTGTCACCTGCCCTACACCCCTGCTCTTTCTCCCAGGCAGACGGGCATTTCTCTAACCTTCGCAGGGGAAAACAGGCATGGCAAATGGGCAAGCAGAAGAGGGTTAGGGAGGGCTGCAGGAGCAGAGGGCATCTCAACCCTGCCTCCTCGTCACCCCGGGATGTGGGTCTCCCTCCACTCAACAGAACTTTAGTACACTCAGTATTAAGGGCCCCCTTCCTGTAATTAAAAATGTTTTAAGATATGTGCATAGTAAACACAGAATAAGTATAAGGGAGTTCTTAAGTCCTGATAACCCCCATTATAGCACTTCGTTGCTTTTATGGAAATATTAAGTGTCAAATTCTTAACATTTCTTTTACTCATTCTTTTGGTGTCTCTTGGCTGGTGTCCTGGATACTTGCTTACGCTGCTTTCTGGAAATTCAGCTCTGCCTTGAAACCCACAGGTCAGCCCAGGACTTCCCCTCTGATGGACCCCTGAAAAAAGCCTCCACCGCCATCCTGCCCTCCACCCACCTTGCCTGCCAAAGTCCCAGGCACGGCAGCCCAGTCAGGAAACAGGAGACGCCGCTAGTCAGTTTCCCCTGTCCTCCCCCTCTGTCCAAGGCTTCCAAGTTCCTGAACCGGAGCCAAGTCCCTGATAAGGGCTGGGTGGGTTTGCGGGGAGAGGCACAGGGAGGGCCAGCCTGTTAGCCTGTGACCCAGTCTCTCCCAAGTCACTCACTCAGCAAAATTTCTTCTAAGGAAACAATTCGCTGACTTCCTTTAGAAAGCCATTCCGTCCATCCTCACCAAGGGAGAGGGAGGAGGCATGGAAGAGAACCAGGCACCTGGCTGGGGTGAGGCAAGTCTGAGATAAAGCACCTAGAATAACAGAGGTGTAACTGCCTTGTTCAAAGCACTTCCCGTCTTATAGATGGGGGGCATTCCAAAAGTCTCTTGTTAATTTCCCCACTAAGGTAAATCGACCTGATTAACTGTTTATTGAGCATTTACTATATACCAGACAACTATGCTAGATGTACATTGCTATATTTAATCCTTCTGAGAATCCTGTGGGGTTATTTCTGTTCTCACATTGTGAGTGAAGAAATAGAGGCTCAGAGAGGTTAAGTAGTTTGTCTCTGGCCACCCAGCAGGGTCATGGTTGGGAACAGATTCTTGATTCCAAGACCTGTGGCTATTCTATGATGCCACACTATGTTGAGCAGTAAAGAGTCTTCCAGACTAAGTCCCTAGAACTCCTTTAATCCATTTTGCATCCCCAAATGGTGTACCTATGCACAGGGAAAAAAGAAAACAATAGTGCTAAAATACTAATAAGTTAGCGCAGGAAAACAATAAAATTGGACTTGGAAAGAGTTTGTCTAGAATAAGGGTTCCTTATGGAAAGTGGCTTTATTGAGAAGAGGATGTGGAGGTCTCTGGAGACAGATATAACGAAATCCACAAAAAGGAGGCGGAATACTCGCAAAGTTTAGAGGCTTGCCGGTCCTGGCTCTTAGTGTCTGGTTTCATTCCCAACTTGTGCCTTTTCCTTGACGCAGCAGCTATGATTGGAGTTGATCTGAGTTAAGAAATACAGCAAAGAAGAGAACAAGGAAGACAGAAAATTATTTCTGGATAGGTAACACAGCAAGGAGGGGTAAAAATGAAGAGTCGATGTGTGTCTGTATAAGAATTCAGCAGCCGAGGTGATTTTTTTAATCCATTGGTGGGGCTTTACGAGTGAGAAGTTCAAGCAGGGAGCTGAGTGCATCATTCCCCTGAAGGGCAGGACTGCTGATAGGGATGGGCAATGAGTCACACACTTCTTTCCACTGGCTTCCAAGAACTATATCCAGCTGGTCTGTTGTTGGCCTAGAACTGAGTCCAGGTTCTGACTTTGATGCCAGGACTCTTTCTGCTATAGCTCATAGACCTTGTTGGGAAAAGGGATGAGCCTGGGCGTGATGTATGTGACATGGGCCCTCGGAGACCCAGAGAGGGGAAAGGGTGCCACACCATGGGAAAGCTGACCTTTCTGTCTCCCCCAGGCATTCCT